GAAACACATTCAAACATTAAAACTTATGATTATACACTTTGCTCAACATAATACAAAGTGTTATGATATTTACATGCTGTTGGTAAAATTTAGCAATTCTGCCCTGTTTTGGAAAAATCCTAGAAAAATCATACAAAGTCGAAAACTAGATCCGTAAATTCTGAGAGTTCGCAAAATGTGTCTAGTTTGCTCATAATCTTTATCACAATTTATAATGACCTCTAACTTGGGTGAAAAAGTCCATAATCACAGACTGGTCCGGATTGTTGTTTGAAATGATAGGCAGTTTTGTAAAAATCGCCATAAATTGTAGAAAACTCGTATGGAGATGTGCAAGTAGCCATTTTAAAGCTAAAAACTTGAACTATTTGCACCTTGTACAGTTTTGAAAACAAAAATGTGTAAGATGCCCAAAACAGTCCGTGAATGGAGTTGAACTTTTCTGATGAAGGCTGTTAGAAAAATCTAGTTATGTTCTTAGTGTTTTAACTTGTATTCCCCCCCTGAAAACTTGAGAAAACATAAAAATGTAGGGGTATGAACTCACCTTGAGTGATTTCAGTAGATAAGTGTTGAAGAAGGAAAGTGTTCAACCTAAGAACACTTGAGGAAACACTTGAAGATTCGAAGATCTAACACAATTATGATGGAGTTTGTGTAAGATATTCATGATTTGAGTAGAATGAAGTGAAATAATCATAAGGAGGATGAATTATACTTACTAAGTGTGGAAGAACACTTGAATCCAGCCTTGGATCTCGAAAATTTGTGTAGAAGAGTTTGAGAGAAAAAGTGATGTTTGTTACTTAGTGGAATGAGAGAAATGAGAGAAAATGAGGAGTGTGGTTGATTGTTCCAGCTCAAAAACGTGGGAGTGAGTGAAATTTGAGTGTAAGGGAACATTGAAGTGACATAGGTAAGGTGGGGAGGTATGGCTGGTCATAGAGTGGGTGTGGGGTGGTTGCTTGTGATCATACGTCTTTGGACTCAAAAGTCAAGAACAATGTCTTATAATAGTCTATGTGTGTGTATCTCTTTAAAAATTCTGCAATTTCATCATTTTATGACCCCCATTTGCGAAGTTGAGTATTTATTTCCAAAAATGCGAAACTCCAGGGACAATATTTGAAATCTTCTGTTTTCTTCCCCAATTCGCATTCTACTGTGAAATACTTCGCATCTTCATTCTTACACCCTTCGCATCCCTTCGCATTAATCACCTTCGCATTTTATGACCCCCATTTGCGAAGTTGAGTATTTATTTCCAAAAATGCGAAACTCCAGGGACAATATTTGAAATCTTCTGTTTTCTTCCCCAATTCGCATTCTACTGTGAAATACTTCGCATCTTCATTCTTACACCCTTCGCATCCCTTCGCATTAATCACCTTCGCATTTTATGACCCCCATTTGCGAAGTTGAGTATTTATTTCCAAAAATGCGAAACTCCAGGGACAATATTTGAAATCTTCTGTTTTCTTCCCCAATTCGCATTCTACTGTGAAATACTTCGCATCTTCATTCTTACACCCTTCGCATCCCTTCGCATTAATCACCTTCGCATTTTATGACCCCCATTTGCGAAGTTGAGTATTTATTTCCAAAAATGCGAAACTCCAGGGACAATATTTGAAATCTTCTGTTTTCTTCCCCAATTCGCATTCTACTGTGAAATACTTCGCATCTTCATTCTTACACCCTTCGCATCCCTTCGCATTAATCACCTTCGCATTTTATGACCCCCATTTGCGAATATTAACCCAATTGACTTTGAATTGACCAGAATATGACGGTTGTCACAGAAATTGCCCCTGCAGGGCCTTGCGCGACCCGCGTGCTGCTGCGCGGGTGGGTTGCGCGGGTGGGCTCCTTTGAGATTTTGGGCCTCTAAAGCATATCCCACTAGCCCAGATCGAATCCAATCACCTCCTAGCCCACTTTCTTCAAGTTTTTCTTCATTTAAAGCCCAATTTGACCTCTCTAAATCCTCCAAAGCTCGTGAACTCGCCCGATTAATAATTTTCATACGCTTGAATGTTCCCCCGCATCTTTCAAATTTAAAGCTCAATTCTTCCAAGCCTTCAAGCAATTGACAAGTCCACCCCATGAATCACCTTCATAGCCATCAAGCATGAAATCTCCAATTCCCTTCAAGCCCAATCGCCTCGCAAGAGTGCCGCCCCGCTAGTTTCCAAGAAAATCTGCAATAATGCTCAAGAAACTAGAAAGTACCCCGAAATGGTCATAAAAATAACAAAAGGGAAAATATGCATGAAAATTAACTAAAATGCGAATGAAATGTACTAAAATAAACTATAAAAATAAGTAAATAAAATGAAGCTATCAATATTATATCCAATCATATATCTTCTATTAATATACTAGTTGATTTTGTGACACTACCACACTTACCAAGAGTTCATATAATTGTTTTAATAGATAATGATTTAAAATTGTAATATATTTTTAATTTTGTATACATTTAATCATCGATTTTTTTCCATATTTTCCTAGTAAACTTGTTGAACCGTTCCAAAAACATATGTATGACTTACAAACATAGGTTTAACCGGTTTTCGGTGAGTGTCCGGTCATTTCTTTTGCAAGGCTCCGAAGCTCATGATTTTTCTGACGAAACATAATCTTTTCAGAAAACAAATATTAAAAACTCAAATATATATCAAATATATTCCAGATTCTAGAACACATACACAATAATAATAATAATAATAATAATAATAATAATAATAATAATAATAATAATAATAATGTGACTTACAAACACAGGTTTAACCGGTTTCCGGTGAGTGTCCGGTCATTTCTTTGGCAAGGCTCCGAAACTCATGATTTTTCCGATGAAACATAGTCTTTTCAGAAAACAAATATTAAAAAAATCAAATATATATCAAATATATTCTAGATTCAAGAACACATACACAATAATAATAATAATAATAATAATAATAATAATAATAATAATAAACACATGTATATAGAATACAGGCCCGTCTCAATGGGTGGACGATAGGGGCAACCGTCCAGGGGTCATCTTTCAAAAGGGTCCAATTTTTTTTTTATAAAAATTCTTATATTTAGATGATAATACAAGTAATTTTCTTTCAATTATTGAGTTATTATAAAAAGCTTGATGTCATTTATGTATTTTAAGGGCCAATTTTTTTCTCTCGCCTTTAGTCCAAAAAATCTTTGGAACGGCCCTTATACAATAGATCACTATCGTCTTAAACCTCCAAGTCACCATTAAAATTGAGTTCTCGGGTTTATGATTTTCAAATGATGGTGTTCGATGGGGATTGAAAGGTGGTATATGTTGTTCCAAAATCGACTTCAGAAAGGAGATGAGAGAAAAGTGTATGTGCATTGTACTGAAATCGAGCATGAACAGACACATTGATCTGAAAATCGCTCCAACAACCGAAAACCCAAATCTGGAAAGAAGATGAACACGATGATGATCTACAAACAAAGAAGATTAGCACGCGCACACACACACACACACTTCAATTTTTGGAGGCCGAAATGCATACATTAGATATGTGATGAACACATACATACATACACATCAGATTACTGTTCGTAGTCTTTAACCTCCATTCATGGTGTTCTTAAACAAATATGAAATGATTTCTTGAACAAAACTTTGGTTTTTTAAAGAATAAAACACCATAAACGATTTGTTAAACAAAACGATCTTATCCATAACAGTCTAGCAAAAAACGAAATCATACACACATGTAGATATGGGTTCATGTTCTGATCTAACACATACACACACATTCAAATCTAATAAGCACTCAAGAACACAATGAACAATCCTGATGAACGATAGAGATCTCAAGAACACAATGAACAAACCCATCAGAAGCTCTTGATAGATTTGGAACTTTTTATCGAAGAAGATGAAGATAAATAATTATTTTCTGGGTTTGAGTTCTTGAGTTTGAACAAAAGAAGATGAAGATGAAGAATTGATTTCTAGGTTTGATTTCTTGTGTTTGAAAATCGAACACCCATATGGGTTTATGTTCGAAATTTGTTCAGATCTAACACAAACACACACGTAAATCTGAAATCATTTATGATGAACTCATTCTTTGATCGTTGTTCTTAAAGATGTTTAATCTTGGTTGAAGGGGGTTGAAGACTTTCTGCGGAAAAAAACACGTAAACTTAAATTTTTTGGTGTTTTTGGTAGGAGGTTCACTAGAGTCTCGCTGGAAACCGGCTAAACCTTCGATAGCATTTAATAATGTTATTATTTAAACAGTTGGACAAGTTCAATGGAAAAAAAGAAATTAATGTGGTTTTACTTTTTGTTGCTATAAATTCTCTAACAATTAAATAGTAATATATGTAACATTTAATGTTTATTTAATAATATTTTAATATATATCAATATAACACATATCAATATTATATTTTAGTATATCAATATGACAATATCATTATTTAAATGGATAAAAAGATTAGTATGAACAAAAACTATGAAAATATTTAATTTATCATGGAAAAATATGGATAAAAAAAACCTATACAAATCAAAATATATGTTTAAGTCATTATCCCTTGTTTTAAAAAAATCATAAATTATATTTGCTTAGTTCAGATCATGGTTTAAACAAATCATAAATTATACTTGTTGGTGAAAACATATACAATTAAATAACATCATAAATGAACAAAAATCATATATGATCAACTTCGAAGAAGATACAAATGTAATGTGACGGAAGGATCTCCTTCGTCATTAATTAAAACAAAATCCAAATAACGTCTATATCAAATCACGAATAATCTAATAAACACGTTATACATTCCATGGTGCAAAATGCTCCCTACTGGCTTGTGGCAAATGGCGATAACCAAGACTTTTCAAAGTCTTATTAAACAATTCTTTCAGGCTTCAACTGTATAAACCGATCTACTTTTATAAAAGAGGAGCTAGGTCACTAAACAAGCAAGTAAACTTATCAACCAACATGTTCACCTTCCCTTTACCGCTCTTTTATTTCCTCATCCTCTTCTCCACCACCGCAGCCCAACCATACAAACCCACAGACTACTTCTTCCTCAACTGCGGTGGTGCAACCACCACCTCTGACCGGAAATGGGACACCGATGAAAAATCCAAATTTATCTCCTCCGCCACCTCCTTCACCTCCACCCCAAACAACCGCGACCCTTCCGTCCCAGAAATCCCATACTCCACAGCGCGAATCTTCAACACTTCATCATTTACCTACATTTTTCCGGTGGCCAACGGCCCTAAATACCTCCGCCTCTATTTCTACCCCGCCACATACTCCCACCACAATGCAAACCAATCTTTCTTTTCGGTATCATCCAACGGTTACTCTCTCTTATCTAACTTCAGTGCTTTCCTAACCGCATCTTATCTAGCAACTAGCCTCGGTGGCAATCCCCCAGTTCCCCACTTTATCAAAGAATTCATTATCTACGTAAACAATACCCAATCATTAAATGTCACTTTTACCCCCTCCCCCAACTCGTACGCTTTCATTAATGGTATCGAAATCGTTTCACTCCCTGAAAACTTATATCATAAATCAACGAGTGTGAAATACGTCGGTCAACATTCTGGACTAATAATCGCAGAGAACACGGGTCTCGAGAATATTTACAGGTTAAACGTCGGTGGGGGACAGATTTCTCCAACTGCTGATACTGGGATGTATCGATCATGGGATCAAGACGATAGATACGTGTTCCCAGTATCAGCTATGGGGATAACGCCAGTTAACAAGACTCCAATCGTCTACACTGCCAACACACCGAATTACACAGCACCTGAGTTGGTTTACGCTACACAAAGGAGTATGGGAAATTTGTCTCGACATTACAATCTGACGTGGCTACTTCCGGTGGATTCCGGGTTTTATTACAAGCTTAGGCTCCACTTCTGTAATATTATCCCGCAATATACGAAACAGGGTGCAGTGGTATTTAGCATTTTTATTAATAATCAAACGGCTGAAGATCAAGCCGATGTTTTTTACTGGAGTGGAGGTACCGGGCTTCCTGTGTTTCAGGATTATGTCGTATTTGTGTACGATTTTGATGGTAGTGGAAGAAAACAAGACTTATGGCTCGCGATGGCTCCTAACAGTAAAGCTGCGGATGAATATGGTGATGCTTTTTTGAACGGTTTAGAAGTTTTCAAGATTAGTATGGGCGGTAATCTTGCTGGCCCCAACCCGGAGCTCAGCCTTACACCGCCACCACCACTGCCACCTTCCATAAAAGAGAACAAGAAAACTCTGCCGTATGCCACCATAATTGGTGGCACTGGCGGGGTGTTACTTATACTCTTGGCTTTAGGTTTTATAGTTTTCCGGCACAGACGAGTAAAACAAGGTGGTGCAACAGATGAGAAGCCCTATTCCAATGAACTAAATTCTAAAGATTCCGGCCTTCCGTCGGACAGGTGTCGCCGGTTTACAATCAAGGAAGTGAAAGATGCCACCGGAGAATTTGATGAAAATTGTGTTATTGGGAAAGGAGGGTTCGGTATGGTGTACAAAGGGTACATCGACAATTTTACCACCGTGGTTGCAATCAAAAGGCTAAAAGAGACATCAAGTCAAGGTTCTCATGAGTTCCAAACCGAAATCGGTTTTCTATCAAAACTACGCCATGTTCAATTAGTTTCATTAATCGGATACTGTAAGGACGATGGCGAAATGATACTTGTGTATGATTACATGTCTCATGGGACATTACAGGATCATTTATACAAAAGAAACAACGCTCATTTACCATGGAAACTACGTTTACAAATTTGCATCGGTGCAGCTAGAGGTTTACATTATCTTCACACAGGTGCAGATCGTGCGATTATTCATCGCGATGTGAAGTCGACTAATATTTTGCTCGATGAGAATTGGGTTGCGAAAGTGGCGGATTTTGGTTTGTCAAGGTTAGGACCAAAAGAGAAAGGGGTAGATCATGTTAGTACAGCTGTGAAAGGGACATTAGGGTATATGGATCCTGAATATTACCGAATGCAACAACTTACCGACAAATCTGATGTTTATTCATTTGGGGTTGTCTTGTTCGAAGTGTTGTGTGCTAGACCTGTGATCATACACCGGGGTTTGCCGGATGAGGAGGTGAATTTGGCTGAATGGGGTAGGGTAAACTATCGAAAGGGGACGCTGAATGAGATAGTTGATAAGAGAATAAGTGATGAGATTGCTCCTAATTGTTTGTTGAAGTTTGGTGAGGTGGCGAATAGTTGTATAAGAATGAAAGGAAGTAAACGACCGAAGATGGATGAAGTTGTTTGGGGTTTAGAGTTTGCGTTGCAGTTACAACAAGCTGCGGAGAAGACAGGTGGCGTTGTGGGTGAGTTGAAAGGTGGCGCGTGGGGGAGTGATCAAGATTTTTTGTATCCTATGCAAGTTGAGACGACTATATCTTCAGCGTCAACTGCAGCAGCAATACAACATGGTATGTCGTCGAATGACAGCAGCGGTGGAGGGTTTGAGTCAGACACGTATTTCACGCAGCCGAGTGATGTTTCAAAAGATACTTGTACGGTAGGTGGGTGATTCGGTGATAGAGTTTATATTATGTTTTGGATTCTTAGAGCTCCATAATGCATGTTTAATGGGTAAGTTAAATGAAGACGTGTGTTAATGGATTAAACTCTAATACATGTTTAATGGGTGAATTAAATGAAGTGAAATGACTTAATGGATTAAACTCAATTATTGTCGACTTTGATATTGATATTTAATGGATTTCGAATTCATTGTCAAAAAAACAAACCTTTTTAATTCCTAAATATATCTTCATAGAACTTTATAGAATGTAATGTGTTTTACAAAACTTTTGTTTAAATTGTATAGAAAATTGAGTAATGATGTAGCAATTACATACCCTAAGTTATTGAGTAATTTGATTATATGTCACTTATGATAAACCATGAAAGGTACAGATTGATGGTCAGTCGTTATCATTTAGGTAAATTCTATTTGGTACTCTCAATTTTCTTGTGTAACTCGTGATATGAGTGTATTAGTGTTTGTATATCCATAATCTAATGATTTATATGAATGAAAGGATTATATATTTATTAATCAATAGAAGTGAAAACTTTGCATATAATTCCTGATTTGATTGCATCGAATGTTGGGATGGAAATATAAACACGAATAAGAGCTTAAAAAGGAAATAACTTTTTTAGGATAAAATGATGTTCCTATTTTGATGTCAAACTTGGCAGGCTCTTATATTCCTGAAAATGAAATGAAATGAGAATGACAAGACCTGAAAATGATATGAGAAAGGTAAGGTTGAAAAATAGGCAATTGTGATGGCCACAGGTAGTATAGTACCCATCAACCATAAATAATAATAATAATAATAATATAATAATAATAATAATAATAATAATAATAATAATAATAAAATTGTTATAAAATATGATCAAATAACAATATAAATTATAAAGTAAAGAAAGAAATAAAAGCAGAGAGAACTTTTATTCCAATACTTGTGATAAAATCATCAAGTGCCTAATACATATGGCTCACTATTTATACTATCCAAATAAGATGAAAGATGAGTTATAATATGAATGCACATTATGATGGTGTATTATTACATTCATAAAACATATTGAAATGGTTGTTACTAATGCTAAATAATGATGGGGAGTTATGGGAGAAATGGAGAATCCAATGGTCATTCACAAACTAATATTTCATAACACTCCCCCTTGAATGACGATTGTATCATGCTTCGTTAAAACCTTAATAGGTAAAACCTCATGGGAAAAACCATTTATTAACGAAAAAGAGTACATGATTAATAATAGATATTTGGAACAATTGTCTCGTTAAAAACCTTGCTAAGAAAACCTAGTGGGAAAAACATAGCTAAGGAAAATAGTAAAATATGTTTCCAACTCCCCCTGATCATCACATCACTTGATTTCCTTAAAGCATCGCATTCCAATATTTCGTACCATGTTTTCAAATTTGGATGTAGGAGCACTTTAGTGAACAAATCTGCCAAGTTGTTACTTGATTGAATTTTCTGGATGTTGATGTCACGCTCTTTTTGAAGATCATGAGTAAAAAAAACTTTGGTGATATATGTTTGGTTTTGTCTCCTTTGATAAAACCTTCCTTGAATTGGGCTATACAAGCCGCATTATCTTCATATAGTATGGTTGGAGCGTCCCTGTTAGAAGTTAGACCACAACTCTCACGAATGTGATGAGTTAAATTTCTTAACCAAATACATTCACGGCTTGCCTCATGAATTGCTATAATCTCTGCATGGTTAGAAGAAGAAGCAATTAAAGTTTGTTTAACAGAACGCCAAGAGATTGCGGTACCTCCACAAGTGAATAAATAACCTGTTTGGGATCGAGCTTTGTGTGGATCAGACAAATATCTAGCATCTGCATAACCAATTAACTCCGCATTTGATGAATTTGAATAATATAAGCCCATATCCATTGTACCTCGAAGATATCGAAGAATGTGTTTGACTCCATTCCAATGTATTCTTGTTGGGAAAAAACTATATCTTGCTAATAAATTTACAGCAAAGGATATATCAGGTCTCGTATTATTAGCAAGATACATCAGTGCACCAATAGCACTAAGATATGGTACTTCGGGACCAAGAAGTTTTTCATGTTTTTCACAAGGCCGAAACTGGTCATTTTTCGCATCTAAATGCCTTACTACCATCGGGGTACTCAATGGATGTGAGTTATCCATATAAAACTTTTTAAGCACCTTTTCTAGATAACTAGATTGATGTACAAAAACTCCATTTTTGGTGTGCTCAATTTGAAGACCCAAACAAAATTTTGTTTTACCAAGATCTTTCATTTCAAATTTTTCTTTCAAACAAGAAGTGGCATTTTTCCAATTCTCCAGAAGTTCCAATTATGTTCAAATCATCTACGTAAACAGCAATTATCAAAAATTCTGATCCGGATCTTTTTATGAATACACATGGGCTTAATGGATCATTTTTATAGCCCTCTTTTAAAAGAAATGTACTTAAATAATTGAACCACATCCGGACAAATTGTGTCAATCCATACAAAGATTTATTTAATTTTACCGAATATACTTCACGAGAATTAGGAGTTTGTGCTTCTGGCACCTTAATCCCTTCTGGGATTTTCATATAAATATCATTCTCAAGTGAACCATATAAATAGGCGGTAACTACATCCATCAGACGCATCTCCAATTTTTCATGTGTTGCCAGACTTATTAGATAACAGAATGTAATTGCATTAACCACAGGAGAGTATGTTTCTTCATAATCAATTCCGGGCCTTTGGGTAAAACCTTGTGCAACAAGTCTTGCTTTATATCTCACAACTTCATTCTTCTCATTTCTTTTGCGCACAAATACCCATTTGTATCCCACTAGTCTTACTCCGTTTGGTGTACGGACTACAGGTCCAAAAACTTTTCGTTGAGTAAGAGAATTAAGCTCTTTGTTTATTGCATCTTTCCATTTTGGCCAATCTTTTATATTTCTACATTCATCTATAGATTTAGGTTCAACATCCTCATTTTCTTCCATAATCTCGCACACAACATGATATGGAAAATTATCGTCGACGTTTATCTTATTTCGGTTCCATCTTATTCCTGTCATGACATAATTTATTGAGATCTCTTCATTTTCATAATTTTCAGGTACCTCAGTTTCTTTTGTTATGTCATTGGGCTCTTCTGGAGCTTCATTAATCTTTTCAAAAGATTATGTTTTCTCTTTTGGACCATCAATTATATTTGCTCCCTTTCGTTTTCGAGGATTTTTATCTTTGGAACTGGTTGGTCTTCCACGCTTCAGGCGTGCATTTAATTCATTTGTAGTTGTATTTTTCCTTCTAGGATATCAATTCTAACTGGAGCATTTACACCTGGTAAATGAGACTTTGTTACTCTCTTAGGGTCAGTAAATGCATCTAGCAATTGATTTGCTATATTTTATAAATGAATTATCTTTTTCACTTCAAGTTCACATTGACTTGAACGAGGATCTAACACTAAAAGTGATAATTCATTCCAAGAGATTTTATTCTCCAGCTTCTTTATTTCTCCCCCTAATGTTGGAAAAATTGATTCATCAAAATGACAATCGTCAAATCTAGCTGTAAATAAATCTCCAGTTGATGGTTCTAAATATTTTACTATAGATGGAGATTCGTATCCAACATAAATTCCCATTCTTCTTTGAGGACCCATAATTGTGCGGTGAGGTGGAGAAATGGGTACATAAATTGCACATCCGAACGTCCTTAGATGGAAAATATTTGATACATGGCCGCAAACCAGTTAAATAGGGGAGAACTTATGATAACTGGTTGGCCTGATGCGTATAACTGATACTGCATGTACAATTGCATGTCCCCATGTCGATGTAGAAAGTTTAGAATGCATTAGTAATGGTCTTGCAAATAATTGAAGGCCTTTGATTAACGACTCAGCTAAACCATTTTGTGTATGAACATATGCAACAGGATGTTCAATAGTTATCCCAATCGACATGCAATAGTCATCAAAAGCTTGTGATGTAAATTCTCCAGCATTGTCAAGTCGAATTTTCTTAATTGGTTAATCGGGAAAATGTGCCCTTAGGCGGATTATTTGTGCTAGTAATCTTGCGAAAGCGAGATTACGGCTAGATAATAAGCACACATGTGACCATCTAGTTGACGTGTCAATTAAGACCATAAAATATCTAAATGGTCCACATGGTGGATGAATTGGTCCACATATATCCCCTTGAATTCTTTCTAAAAAACTAGGACTTTCATACCAACTTTATTCAATGATGGACGGGAAATTAATTTTCCTTGGGAACATGCAACACAAGACAATTCATTAGCTTGAAAAATCTTCTGGTTTTTCAAGGAATGTCCACTTGAACTTTCAATTATTTTGCGCATCATAACTGATCCGGGATGGCCCAACCGGTCATGCCAAACTTTGTAGATGTTATCATACCTTTTATTTTCAATAGCATGAGATTCAATCATTCTAATATTTTTATAATACAATCCAGAGGACAATACGGGTAATTTTTCCAAAAGACTTTTCTTACCCGATATCAATTTCGTAATATTGAGATACTCTTTATCACCATCATTGGTTGTTTCAACATGATATCCGTTGGACCGAATATCCTTAAAACTTAATAAATTTCTTGGTGATTTTGATGAAAATAATGCATCTCCAATTATAATTATTGTCCCTTATGGTAATATGATATTCGCTCTTCCGGAGCCTTCAATCATTTTTGCACTACCCGTTATTGTATTAACATTTGCTTCTCCAATTGATAAGTAAGCAAAATATTTTTCATTATTAAAAATGCTATGTGTTGTTGCACTATCTGCAAGACATATATCTTCCTCATTTCTTTTGCGAATATCCATATTTCTCTTCAAAATAAAAATATATAATAAAATAATAAGAAATAAGAAATATTCAACTTAGATAAATAAAGTCATATATTATTATTTTGAGAAGAATCATCGAGATCTCTTCTGATGAAACGACTA